TGGCGCAGGAAATCTCTTATATATCACGCCGTTACCGAAGCTATTCGATGTAATATTCAGATTTAAATATTTAAACAAATTGTAAACATTGTAAACATTTAGTAACCGTAGTTTCGCCATTGATAAATTCAATGCGAGTTCAAGTAAAAAATCTACACGATCTACAGGGTGTATAAAAAAACTGAACAGATTTGAAATTGCTCTTAAATTCGTAAAACAGCTACTAGTATCTAGTTTTTGATGTATATAGCTTCTTTGGGTACTTATATAATCATAATGTAGAAAAATGAAAAAAATTTCTCGAACTCAAATTTTGTGAACGGGGGGGGGGGGTGTCTTGCGCACGGAATTTAGAAGCTTTGATCATATTTTAAGTTAATAGATGGAAACTTGTTAGGTTTTTAATTACTGTACAAAATTTCGGACAATTTGCTTTAGTTTAAGCCCTTTAACTATTCACGCAAACTCGCATATTTTCTTAAAAAATCAGCTATTTGCATGCTAATTAATGCTTTTGCCTAATTTGCATATGTCAGCAATATGCAAATTAGGTAAAGGCACTAATTAAGCATGCGAAAGGATAATTTTTTAGAGAAAAATGGATAGTTAAAGGGCTTAAACTAAAGACAATTGTCTGAAATTTTGTACAGTAATTAAAATCCCAACAAATTTTCCATCTATCAACTCAAAATATGATTAAAGCTTTTAAATTTCGTGCGCAAGCCATTTTTAATTTGTTGCAAAAGACACCCCCTGGTTTACAACAAAATTTGAGTTCGAGGCACAGCAGAATGGTTTGTGCTTTGGCTATTGTCTATTGATGCATGAAGCTCATGTCAGTATGTATTATAATAAATCTTAAACATGTGTTCGCACTTGTAATTCTCAAAGCCACAGGAATCGATCGGCTTTGACCATATTAATAGTCATTATTTTATATTGTCATGATTGTTTCTTCTTATACGTTGCATCGTATTATCCTGTTCCGAAATATCACATACTCGAACTGACCTGACCGCGTAGCCCAGTTGGCAGAGCATTGGGCTAGTATTCCAAAGGTCGTAGGTTCGATTCCCACCGTGGACTGGCATATTTTTCAAGCTTGCCCGGTGTGGATATACACTCAAAGTAACATCACAAATATCATATTCACTTGAGTACATTGCACCAACACGAAAAAAAATCATGATTATTATATATTAATATCGAAGGAACTACATCCTGTTCCGAAATATCACATGCTCGAACCGACCTGACCGCGTATACGTAGCTCAGTTAATGGCGGAGCATTGGGCTAGTATTTCAAAGGTCGTAGGTTCGATTCCCACCGTGGACTGGCATTTTTTTCAAGCTTGCCCGGTGTGGATATACACTTAGAGTAACATCACAAGCATCATATTCACCTGAGTACATTACTCAATATATAAAAGTGTTCTCCCTTCTCCCAATGCAGCCATTCATAATTCTATTTCGTCATTGGACTACAGTACGTCACTAAGGAGTCATGTGAGATATGCGCACACATATCGAGCAATCAGTTGCCCCGTGTTTTTCGAGCAAACGGTTGTTTATGCAAAAGAAGCAGCGAACATTTGCATTTTTTACCAATAAAAGCATGACTTCAGAAGACGAAATGGAATGTAGGTTACTGGACGATGACACTCCGGTAACAGACGAGACAACAGAAGAAGGAAAGATGCCGGAAGTGCTATCTGGTTTGGGCAAAACCCTTCAAACCATATCAGCTGCCATGCTCAACATGGAAAAATCCATGAAGAGATTACATTCGGATAAAACCTCTGACTCAGAGGGTAGACCGAATAAAACGAGACGCCTAGCTCCACAAAATGAAGTTGAAAAAGACGGCGATGACAGTGATCCTGAAGGATTGCTTCAAAGTATAAAAGAACCCAATGCCGACTCGGCAAATGCGGGTAATACGAGCGAAGCACATGTTCGACTCGAACATGACGCTCTACTTGACGAAATCTCCCAGGATCTGGAACAACTAGAGGAGGTAGGAGGCAATATAAATCAGCAACTTGCTGACATTGTTAACAAACGCTGGTCTTCGAAGCTTACAGAAGCAAAACGGACAATTACCTGAGACCAGGGAATTGTGAAAAATTTGCCGTCCCTCGTGTTAACGAGGAAATTTGGGGCAAGTTAGATAACAAAACCAAGCACAATGACCAACGTGCTACTTCCACACAAAAGCTACTAGCTAAAGTTGGTACAATACTTACTATCACTACAGACAGGCTATTATATTGCAAATGCGCAATGCCGACCTGCCCGAGGTTGACCAGATCATCACGATGAACACAGATGCTTTGACCCTACTAGGGCACACAATATGTGATTTATCTATGCGTCGACGCGATGCTATCAAGCCCAATCTGAGTTAATCTGTACACAGGGGGTCCAACTATTAAAGAGCTGTGTTATGAATATGAATAAAACATTAATTAAACGTAATATGAATAAAACATCACAATGTAATAAATTTAAATTATTGCACTTACTTGTATAAATCATAAGAGCTTGCATTTACAACGAATACCTTCAAACAGGGCGCTTATATATGCTCAGAAACATTGATTAGAACGATTGTTCAAATATGGTGAATAAATTGACAAAACGAAAATATTACATGACGTTCCAACGAAAATAACAGAAAGGATTGCGGGCGCGCGAGCGAAAAGGCGAGGGAAGAAATAAATAAAAAGGTTGAAACAAATATCACGTGACTTTTTAAAATGCTTCTAGACTATCCGGTTAAGCTTTTTATGGTATTTTTAGGGCTCATTAGATGTTCTCTTACATGAGCAAGCCTAGTAATTACCAAAAAAGCACTGATCAATGTAATTTATGTGATTTATAACAGCGGGCATTCTTAGCCGTTTTCGCGAGATGTGTTCCATAAGTAGCCTGTTCTCGTGACGTATGACTAAATAATAATAAAACTAAATAATGTAAAAAAAAAACCGTTGGTCGCTACATTTAAACATTTCATATTAGCCGGTATAGCTAAACATTGTTTATTTTCATTAATTAAGCGCGTAGCTGTTGTTGGAGTTGGCAGGAGGCGTTTTGAAATTTCCGAGAGAATAGGCTACTTATGGAACACATCACACGATCGCATTACCGGTGTTTCATCCCTTCTATTAATATCTATTACCCTCGCGTTCCTCTCTGCCTTTCTGTTATTTTCGTTGGAACGTCATGTAATATTTTCGTTTTGTCAATTTATTCGCCATATTTGAACAATCGTTCTAATCAATGTTTCTGAGCATATATAAGCGCCCTGTTTGAAGCTATTCATTGTAAGTGCAAGCTCTTATGATTTATACAAGTAAGTGCAATAATTTAAACTTATTACGTTATGATGTTTTATTCATATTACGTTTAATTAATATGTTATTCATATTCATAACACGGCTCTTAGTTGGACTCCCTGTGATCTATACAGATATTACAGCAGCCTATGTGCCCCGCATGTGCCAATTACATTTTATTTTGTTACTCTGAGTGTATATCCACACCGGGCAAGCTTGCCCGATGTGGATATACACTCAGAGTAACATCACAAGCATTATATTCACCTGAGTGCATTACACCAACACAGAAAAATCATCATTACATCTTATTTGTTTGGCGATAACCTACAAACACAGCTCAATGACATTAGAGCTTCAAATAAAATGAGCAAATCAACAGTCCCTCAGCGGTATGAAAAACCCAGATCACAAGGCCATTCAGGGACTTGGGCACCAGCACCTTCAACTCTGAAGGAAAACAAAGAAGGGGGCATTTTTATCCAACAGGCGGCAGTGGAAGCAATATCCCCCAAGAACAACTTTCCAAGCCAAGAAGCACCCAATAGCCAAGCGCCAGCAGAACAAATAACTGCAACTAAGGAAGTTACTGGGAGGGTTTTAGCAAATTTACAGGTTAGTAACGATATCTGCCATTAGTGGTAGACTACCTTAATAACTGAGCAGACTCTTTTCAAGCAGGCCAAATAGTTCACAAACTTTGTGAATGGCGAAAAATCACTTCTGATGCAGAAGTTTTACAAACAGTCTGTGGCGAAGAAATTGAGTTTTCTTCTTTACCCCAGCAATCAAAAGCACCAAAAGAAAACAAGTTTTCCATCCCTGAACAACTTGTTGTTGAACAGGAAATTAAAAAGCTCCTAACTAAAGGAATTATAGCCGAATCTGCACATGAACCAAATGAGTTCATTTCGCCTATATTCCTAAAACCTAAGCTTAATGGATCATACAGGCTGATATTAAATCTTGAAGAACTAAATAAATATGTAATATACAGGAATTTTAATTAAAATGGACTCTATTTGGAGTGCAATTAGACTTATGAAGCCACAATGCTATATGGCATCTGTGGACCTAAAAGATGCCTACTATTCAGTGCATATTTGTACAAAACATCAGAAATATTTAAAGTTTCTTTGGAATGGAGCCTTGTATAAATTTACATGCTTCCCCAATGGGTTAGCTCTTGCCCCTAGGAAGTTTACTAAGTTATTGAAACCTGTATATTCATCCTTGAGGAAAAAGGGGCACTTGTCATCACCTTATATAGATGACTGGATCTTGTTGGGTAATAAATTTAGTGAATGTGCATCTAATCTTCTGGATACTATAAAGACCTTACATACTTTGAACTTTGTGCCTCATTCCCCAAAAATCTGTGTTTATACCGACAAGAATAACAGTATATCTTGGTTTCAATCTTAACTCCATTACAATGAGTTTTCCGTAACACCACAAAAGGCGAAGAAGCTGAAGTTTGCCCTCTTTCATGTGGTATGCCTATTTAAGAGAAGTTGCCCAAGTCGTAGGGCTTATTATATCAAACTTTCCAGCAGTTATGTATGGGTCCTTATACTTTCGAGTCACTGAGGGTGAAAAAGCTCATGCCCTCAAACAAAATCAAGGGAATTTTGATGCTCATATGGCATTATCTGCCAGTGCAATAGTCGAACTTCAATGCTGGATAAACAATATTGAAACAGCTCATAACCTGGTCTGTAAACCAGAACCACATATTATACTATGCGCACAGATGCTTCTAAGAATGGCTGGGGATGTGCTATAAATGATATTAAAACAGGAGGAGAATGGACTCTGGAGGAGAGTAAATATCATATCAACTATTTGGAGTTGTTAGCAGTATATTTTGGACTAAAATCTCATAAAACTCTGATTTCAAATAAGCATTTTAAAGTGCTAGTAGATAACACTACGGTTCAAATTACACTTAATAAAATGGGAACCAGTCACTCGCCACTATTAAACAGTCTTATTAAAACTATATGGGACTGGTGTATTACTAATAATATGAAACCGTCTACACAATTTATACAATGGTGCCAATAAAACTGGTAAATAAATGATTGTCAACTATTCCACAGTCTTGCTGTGCTGAGTGGTTATATAGTAATACTATCTGAAAAAAACAAGCAGAAACTCAACGTTGGCTACTAACTCTTGACGAAGGGCCTTCGCTTGAAACGTTGAATAATTTTCTGCTTGTTTTTTTCAGGGAGTACTATATATAAGATATTCATTCTTGTAATGGACAACTGAGTGTGCAACAATTAACAATTGTATTTGAAGTCACAACATTTTGCTCAACAAAAACAACTTTACTTTTTCAGAATAAGACTACTAAAACAAAATTTTTAGGTTTATTAGTGAACTATCATATCACTTCATACATCTTTAACAATTTTAGGACAGCTAAAAGTAGCGATGCAGGCAAAAGCCCAGCTCAAAAGGGGCCTCCAAAGCACAAAGAGTTTTGTCAGTGCCATAGTGTAACATATTGTAAAACACCTCTTCTCCCATTTAATAATTATGATGTCATAGGGACCCTGGGAAAACTTAATGATGTCAAATGGTTCCCCTGGTACCATAAAATGAATTGCAAGTTCTGAAAAACCTTTATTGATTTCAATAATGTGTCATTCTACACATCAGCCTATCAAGCAATACAAGCATGAAAGTATAAATGATATTACACTTATTCAAACAGGACATTGTTATCAGTCTGGCCAGGTGTGATTCTTGATTCTTTAACCAGTAACTACTTTTTATCACATAATTAATGAGCAATGCACTTCTCCAACGATACTATTCCATTCTAGAGTATTTCATTATATTAGACTCTTCATTATAATGCAACATGCCAAGTTGTTTACTGATCCAGAATACAGGACTGTATAATTTTAACTTGAGACTGATTTCTCCATTGTTTCTGGAGGTATTGGCATAATAAAAAGATTATCACATTTACAGTCCCAGGTGTATCTGAAAGAAATGTAAAACTAAAGCTATAAAATAGTCAAGTTAAGTAACAAATTAAACACACACTGGTATACTACTCCAGGCTTTTGCTCAATTGCTACAGCAGTACAGGCCTTCGTTATTGAGAAAAAATATTTATTTTATCATTGTATAAAGAATAACATGGTTTTAAATTCCCTAGGTATGATAGATTCATAATAATGCATGTATAATAGTATTAAATAAATACTGGGTATGATCAGCTCACAGCATGCTATAGAATTTCTGAAAATCTGCTGCATTTTAGGGAGTACACAATATCTTTAGTGGTATTCCAACTAGACTACAATTAGGATGGAAATTCAGAGCCCAAAGTTCAAAAATTAACCTTTAAACAAAATAATGATAACATGAACAATATAAATTGTAACAAATTTATAAAGGCAACCAAGGCAGTGTGCAACAAGCAACGTTCTTGCTCACGAATAGCCTATTTAATAAAGCTGAGAGTTATCAAATTACTTTTATATGACAAATAATTAAACGTACTTATAATATACCTTTAAGAAGAAATCAGAACATTTTGAAGGAAATCGAAGCCATTTGAGACAAAATATTTGATCGATGACTCGATGAGTGTTGACATATGTACAAGCCGGTGTTTCAATCATCTCAAATTACTTTTTAAACGGACATCACACGTGCACTCAGTATCCTTGTTGTTCACACTAACTGCGCCGAACATATTTTACGGGAAAAATTGCGATTTTATTGATATTTTCAGCAAAAAGTTAGCTCTCCACTCCTCTTGAAAATACTATGGCGCGCGCGAATTCCCGGAGAATGGGTACGAAATAGTTAATTGGAAAATACTGTACTTTTACTCAGAGAGATTTGTATAGTAAATCACTTATATTCATATTATGCAGAATTAGCAAAATTGGGAGGGTATAAATTGGGTTCGTCTGTGAAGTAGGATTATATTTGATGAAGACAATAAAGTCGAAACGTAATGTTTTGAGTTGATTAACTTATATACCTTTATGGCTTTTCGCCTAGTGATTAACACACAATACTTTATTATTTTACTCTATCTAACAGCAGATTATTTTACTTATCAAAAGGAGAGTGCGTGTGTTGAATGGGAGAATTTATGTACTGTAACTGGATTTAATTAATTTGATCTAAATTAATATATTTTTATAGTAAAAATAATTTGATTACAAAAGTAACTTGAATAATACTTCGGGCAAAGAAAATATATTTTTCTTCTTGACAGCAAAACCCAAACCCAAAATATTTCCTGTCTAAGTCAAATTTGACTAAACATAAAGATTTAGAGGCTATAATTCGTAAACAGGACGAAGTAATAAATAAACTGTACGAAGACAATACACTTATTAAATCAAAATTGTTATCGCTTGAAATGACAAATCCCAGTGCATCTATTAATGATTTGAAGAACAATGCCTGTAGCTTAACTAACGAAGTAAATTCAGTTTACGAAACTATTAGCGATAATGCTTAGGATCAACATTTAAAGTGCTTATGTCACAAAAATTTTACTTTGATATTTGGTAGAGGACAAAAAGTTAGTTAATAGGTTCTTTAACATTTTTCGGTTTTCTCTTTTCATTCGCGAGATACGAGGCTCTAAACAGCGATTTTCGTAAAATTGTCGCGTATCAACAAGAGTCTGGGACGAGCGTGGTGTGACGTAGCTTAAGGGACTTAATTTCGACGCGCATTATACATTTGATATATTTTCCAGCACGTCAGGCAGTAGCTCGGATTCGGAAAGCACTCATAGTTCTCAATGTGACTCAGAATACAATTATATTCCTGGATATATTATAGAGGATGAATCAAATGATACTAGTCACGAAATTGGAACTCTAGAAGCAGTTGATAGCGAAATTTTAGGCGATTATGATGCATGCCTTTATGCCGATGAACCTCAACCGCTAGCCGGCGAAGAATGGTACGCACGATATTTCAGAAATTCAGCAGAACACAAGCAACAAAAAGAGATGCTACAGCGAAGGTTAGATGGCCTTGAAGATATTAAATTATGGTGAGTGTAAACATAGAACATTTTTCATTTTAACGTAAAATAAGTATCTCTGGCTAATATATTTTGCGGGATACGGGCTCATATGGCATCAGTCACAACAAAGAGTTAAAACCACAATTCCCTCACCTTCGCAAGAAAATACAAGACACGAGATCAAAGAAAATATAAACAGACTGGTTCAGAGCAAATTACGTATATATTCTTGTTTGAAGCTACAGTGTTTATCTGTGATCACGTTTATTTAATACGAACGATTGAACGATTGTATTTTCTCGCAAGTTCAATTCTTAAAGCCCATTTTTCCAAACAAATAGGTCTGAATCCCGAGTGTAGCTAGAGTGATACAGCACGGCGGCTGTGGCACATCTTCTAAAACGAAGTTATCCTTCAGAACATCCCTACAAGATTCCATCTCCTGACAGCACCAAGCTTCGTGTGTATATTGTATATATATTATCACACAATCGCCGCATTTACACTTGTGAAATATGATACAGGTGAGGGTTTGATGTGACTGATGCCGTATCAAAAATATATCAGCCAGAGATACTTATTTTACGCCGTTAAAATGTTAAATAAATCTATGTTTACGCTCACCATGATTTAATATCTCCAAGGCCGTCTAATCTTCGTTCTAGCATCTCGTTTTGTTCCTTGTGTTCCGCAAAGTTTTAAATATCGCGCGTAGCTTTTATCGCGCGTAGCATTCTTGGCTCGCTAGCGGCTCATCGGCATAAAGACAATATGCATCATAATCGCCTAAAATTTCGCTATCAACTGCTTCTAGAGTTCCAATTTCGTGACTAGTATCATTTGATTCATCCTGTATAATATACCTAGGAATATAATTGTATTCTGAGTCACATTGAGAACCATGAGTGCTGGAACACACAGTCTTCCCAATAGCTTTTAATACTCCTTCACATGTGAATTCGAACTTCCGTCCCTTAAGCTACGTCACACGGCTCTCGCCCCAGACCCTTTTCCGGTTTTTTCTCGGGCGCGACAATTTTTCGCTAAAAGCCAATTTTTCAAGGTTTAGAGCCTCATATCTCGCGAATGAAAAGAGAAAACCGAAAAATGTTAAAGAACCTATTAACTAACTTTTTGTCCTCTACCAAATATCAAAAAAGATTTTTGTGACATAAGCACTTTAAATAATTCGACCAAGACCATCATCGGAACTGCTGCAAACAATAACATTAATGGCCTTACTAACATCATTAGCGTTCCTAATAATTATTCCAAAAATACAACTATAAACAATGCAAGTCCAATTAACCCCAAAATCCCTCAGATTTATCAACAAAATATACCAACACATAAAGAGAACAATGCTACATGCAATAAACAAGACGAGATCACAGCAGTCAATCCACAGATTAAACACCATAAAAACACAATTCACCATGACTTAAGTTCTATACAACAACCTCCAAAGAATACCATCCCGTGCCCGTTCCTTCGTAAACGTGGCTGGTGCGCCAAAGGCAATTTATGTGATTTTTTCAACAACGGCAAACCTATATATATAATAATTCCCTATATATATAATAATTCCCTGGTATCATGCCCCTTCTTACAAAAGAAAGGAAGGTGTAAAAAAGGCTCATTCTGTGACTTTTCTCACAATATTCTAGCCCGCTACACCTATTCACGACCTAACTCTCACCAAACTGTTCCACCTGCTTTTTTTGGTGGGTTCCAGAGTGCCCCGTCCAACCCCAAACCACTTTCCTTGAGGATGCTACGTACAACATACCCTCCCCAACCATTGTTACAAGTCCCAATCCACCCACCTATCCACGCACCACGTTGGGGAATGTAGATAAATCACCCACCTCCCATGTCCCACACAACCCCCAAAACTCCCTTGTCCTGTCCGATAAAGATGCCAATTCAGATTAGAATCACCTTAAGTAAATCACCACCCATAAAAACTGCAAACACTATTTCCCATATTAATAATTCAAACATCGTTCAAATAACCCCTTTAATTGCTTCTACTCAGTGCACCAAAGATTGTGACAAAGGCATTACTTTGACTGTTTTAAATGCACAATCCTTGAATAATAAAGCCGCGATTTTTAACGATTTTATTTGTGAACATCAACCAGACCTTTTTGCAGCAACTGAAACTTGCTTCAGCGATAGAGAATCTGCACCAAAAACTCAGTGTACCCCTGGTGGCTATAAGTTTTTTGATCATCCCCGTTCTGGTCGTCAGGGAGGAGGTACCGGGTTATTTTTAAAAACAATCTTCAGGTTGCTAAGGTCGCTGGTGGCGAACGTCAATCATTTGAATACTCGGAATGGGAAGTTATTTCAGGTTCACGGCGAATAAATTTAATTATTGTGTACAGACCGCCATATTCTGTAGCCCACCCGGTTACCAGTGCTGTATTCTTTGTGGAATTCGCAGAATACCTAGAATCAATAGTTCTGAGTGCAGATCCTCTTCTTATTGTCGGGGACTTTAATATTCATATCGATTCTAATGAAAACTATGATGCTATCAAGTTCTTGGAACTTTTGTAGAGTTTCAGCCTGACTCAACATGTTGAAGTCCCCACACATTCCAGCGGCCACACCCTTGATTTAATAATAACTCGGAAAACTGACAATCTAGTTTCTTCTGTGCTTAGAGCTGTTTGTTTGTTCTCAGATCATATGCTTATCTTCTGCGAACTTGATATGGGTAAGGTACTTTTTACTAAATCAAAAGTTTCGTATCGGAATCTTTAGGCGATGAATCTGGACGCTCTGCGAGCTGATATTTCTAACTCTGATCTCTGTAAAAACACTGATATGTTTAATGTAAATGAGCTTTCTATATGTTATAATGAAACACTTGAATCAGCCATAAATAGGCATGCTCCATTAAGAACTAAGTTACTCGGCCCTATTTACCTTGGTTTAATACTGAAGTAAAATCTGCAAAAAGAGAGCAAAGAGGAGCTGAACAAAAATGGAGAAGAACTAAACAGCCTCATGATTTTCAAATCTACAAATCTAAGAAAAACTATATGATATTTGTAATGAACCGTTCTCGGAAAAAAATTTATACAGATTTTGTCCTGGAACATAGTTCAGATCAACGGAAACTATTTAACGCTGCTAAGTCTCTCTTTCATCAGAGAAATGATCTTAATAGTCCCGCATATGAAGACCAGATTATGTTAGCTAATGATATTGGAGAATTTTTCGTGCAGAAAATTGAAAACATTCGAAGTGAACTTGATTTGTCAGCTTCAGACTTCGATGAATCTATTGCATTGAATGCCTGCTTTGATTCATTTGAGCAATTAAGTGAAGAAGACGTAAAAAATTTGATAACTAAATCAAATGGGAAAACTAGTTCATTGGATCAAATGCCGACTTCGATTGTCGTACAGTGTCAAGATATTCTTCTTCCTGTTCTTACAAGGATGATGAACATGTCATTAGATTCTGGTGTTTTTCCTCCTGAATGGAAGGTAGCGGATGTTTATCCGTTACTTAAGAAATCGAATTTGGACACTTGCACTGCTTTTGAAAACCTTAGACCTGTTAGCAATCTGTCGTACGTATCGAAGCTTACTGAACGTATACAGTCTTCAATCAAACAAACGATTTTCTGAATACACAAAGATTGTATCCTAAAGGTCAGTCGGCATATCGTAAATGCCATAGCACTGAAACGGCTTTGCTACGAGTAACAAACGATATCATGATGAATATGAACCGTCAACATGTTACTCTATTGGTAATGCTAGATCTTAGCTCAGCATTCAACACCGTTGATCACGACATCCTGCTTCGTAGACTGAATCATGAATTTGGAATAAAGGGGCGGGTTCTAGAGTGGTTTACTTCTTATCTCAGTAAACGTTCTCCATTTATTTCAGTCAAAGGTGGCCGATCTAGACTTTTTGATGTATCATGTGGAGTCTCTCAGGGATCATGTTTGGGTCCCCTACTATTTGTACTATATGTTAGTAAACTGTTTAGCATTGTGGAAAAACACCTACCTGATGCTCATGCATTCGCTGACGATTCACAGCTCTATGTATCGTTCAAACCAGATTCGACCTGTGATCAACTTGCTGCAGTTACTGCCTTAGAACACTGCATTGATGATATAAAGGATTGGATGCTCTCTGATAAATGAAAGGTTAATAATGGTAAAACAGAATTTCTAATTATTGGAACTCGGCAACAACTAGCGAAGGTCAACTTTAATTCTTTGAGAATTGGCGACAATTCTATCAACTCGATCGACAAGGCAAAGAATTTGGGATTCTGGTTTGACTCGCAGATGAAAATGGTAACTAACATAAGCAAGTGTTCAAGTGCTGCATTTTTTAACATTTTTAACATTAGACGGATAAGGAAATTCCTCACCTGTGAAACTGCGAAAATATTGGTCAATTCGTTGGCAATAAGTCGATTGGACTATTGCAATAGCCTTCTGTATGGTCTCCCAATAATTCATCTTAACAAGCTCCAGCGTGTCCAAAATGCCGCAGCTAGACTGATCAGCAATATTTCACGGTTTGATCACATCACCCCGACTTTGATGAATCTACACTGGTTGCCGGTAAAGTCTAGAATAAACTTTAAACTGCTATTAATAGTTTTTAAGGCATCGCATGGGCTGGAAACTGATTACTTAATTGAACTAATAAATATTAAGTCTCCATCTAACTATAATATTGGATCGAACAGAGAAATTCTTCTTGAGCCACCTTCTGTGAAGACTTTGGCCACGTTAGGTGATCGATCATTTGCCTCTGCGGCACCCACGCTTTGGAACTCCTTACCTTCATATATCCGAGAGGCTAGCTCTGTTGACAGTTTTAAAAGACTTTTAAAGACATACTTATTTAAGAAAGCATACATGTAAATAAAGTTCGTAATTTAGGTTAATTTTAAAGACATAATTTTAACTAAATAGTTCTAACTAATTTTATATTCTATACGTATCAAATTGTCATGCGCATATGAACATATACCAAATGGAATATGCGCACTATAAATGTTATTATTATTTATTATTATTATAATACATATATATATATTAGATTAGAAGACAAACTTGAATTACTTCATATGAACTTTATTTCACTACAAATTTGTTTCGTATGACAAGACGAGTCTTGCCACACTCGTCAGGTGAATTTAAAATTTGGATAAAAATTAAAGTGCCCCTGTCACAAAATTAGAGTTTACATTAATAGAATCGTCTTGAAACGTGGATTATGAAAATACAAAACAGATTTAAAATTGAGCTTGTTTTCACAGAGTAATAAGGCAATGAAATTTGAAAATTTCAAATTTTACCGGCAAAGTTTTTGAAAACCGCGAAGCTGGGAAATTGGTAACTAATACGTCATAGTAGGAAGACATTGCCTACTCGCCTAAGCCAAAAGTATATAAATACTAAGTGAGAATCACAATCAAGCTGGTCAAAATTCGATACAAATATCTTCGTCGAGTTCAGATACGGAAAATAACAGTTACCAAAGCGATGACTGACTGAAATTATATTCCTGAGCCGTATCAAATCGAGAGAAATTGATGAAAACACCAGTGAAGCGTAGTCAAGCAGCGCCGATCATTCGTGCGCACGACGTTGGTCCATATGTTAATGAACCAGTGCCCGACGAAGATTGGCTCAAAAGTTACCGTGAAAAAAAGCAATCACGACGAACGTCTTAAGCAACTACAACAAAGGCTTGATAGTTCACTGAAGAATTGAGTAAATGGTAAATATTTTGTTGCGTGACTTGACCTTGCGTTTCGTGACTTGCCAGTGTTTCTACATACACAGTATTCAAATTACAAAATATAATATTTCAGGTGTAAACGTGGCAATTGTCGCATTGAACTGCTTCGTAAATTATGCTAAAGAGTGTCAATGTTGTATGGAAATTGAGGAGTGCGTCGATTCTCTACACAGTAACATTGTGATTTGTGATGCAAGATGAAGTCGCGCCATCATGTATAATTCAACAGCTTATCACTAGATAAGTGAGCTCTCCGTTCAGCAGCCACGAAATAAATTACGAACAAGAAAGAAGCAGGAATACCGTCAAAAAAACACAGAAGATGGGAAAATAAAGTTTTATTTATCAACATATTGAAATTATGAAACACTTTACCGTACCCGAGTTTACTATCGGTGAACACACGCATGCGGTACGGTAAATGAGAGTTTATATACGGTACATGCTGTACAATTATTGAATTATTATCTATTTACATGTGTCCACATGCAAGTAAGCGACTTATTAAAAAGACTTATTTATTAATTTATAGATTCTGAAGGAGCACAGCATATAAAAACTTTGTGTAGATGGTTTATGGACAACTAGGAAATAGACATTTTTGCGCATATGAGAAAATAATGCCTGCAGGCTGCATGCTATTGATGAAGACTTTGTAGGATTTGCAGAGGACAGCTCTTGATATTATAGAATTATTTTTCAATAAATAAACCTATTACACTGTATAAGCGTAGTAATATTATACTGTATTGCGTATAGAAACAGCACATTTGCTATATTCATGACTTATTATAATATTATTTTGCCAAAGAGGCTGATTTGTATTGATGTTTTCCTGCACTTCGTGCGCGCGGGTTAATTT